CCCCAAAACCCCAAAACCCCAAAACCCCAGGAGATGAAAAAATATTTCGAATATTAATACTCAATATGGATTAATAATTCTTATTTCTTCTCTTATACAACATCAGTTTTATCTTATCCATGTTCTCTCAATATTTGCGAAAACTCTCTTTCATCAATTAAACACTTGAATTCTTTGGAAGCTTCTCTGAAATCTAGCGATTTAGAGAGCCCTTCTACTAATTTCGATAAGCCGTTAGTAGATGTTTTAGTTCTTGCAGATCCATTTATTCTTCAGTCCTTCAATCTCAATGATTCGATTATACTTCCATCCAAAGAATGACCGAAGTTAGGCACTTTTGTAATAAAAATTTCACAGTTCTGAAAGATTAATTCCTTTGTATTCCGACAAGCAGAAAGAAGCTTCATCAATGAAGATTGGCTTATGGTTGTGTTTCTAATCCAGACTTTAGATTTTACCTTATAGCTAGCATTTAGGACGCTTTTTAGGCATTTGCTCTTATTGAATCATACACTACTATGAAAACTCAGATTTAATTCCTGCACTCTTCTCCAGGATGAATTTCATAGAAACTTTCTCAAAGAGGGCAAGTGTTCAGTTCTTATATCGTATATATGGAGAGATAAAAACGTTACACTTTCCATCAATTGGGCATTGTGGTAACGACTTAGGTCTAGAGGGTCAACTCAAAGTCAGAATATCTATAGAATGACCTCCCATAATATTTCTCACGAAGGGAAAAGAATACTTGAGAGTCAATGTTTTCGGATTGCTGCTTGAGATTCTCCTCAACTCTGATTTTAGCGCTTCTAACATCTTTATTTTGTGCTAAAAAATATTATGCCATATTCTTAAATTAGGAAAATGATAAAACGTGCTAGATATCAAAATCTGGAGGATTAATGTCCAAGTGAAATTATTGTAGACTCACTGGAAGGTAAAAAGATCTCAAGCTTATGTATTCAGAAAATATTAATTACAAATAACATGTAAGTAAAATTAGAATACCTGAGTTGTCAATATCAAGAGTTTTCAGACTCCTGGTCATCTGGAACGCTTTATGGACTTGCTCTAGAAGGTCTCCTAGCTCACCTCTCAAGCTCTCGTATTTTTGATTGCAGCTAATATAGGAATTAGATCAAATAAAATAATGAGGGTAGAGTTTTTATTGATTACATTCACAGTTTTGTTCCAACTAATATTTAGGAGTATTTTTGAATCCTAACTTCTCGGGGTCTAAGGAATCCAACTGAATCTTTGATGAGACGATTCACTTATGAATTTGGGAGATTCTTGTTTTGAAATGACTATTCTGAACTTTTGAATACATCTCCAAGGCAATTCTTTGTGATTGTGCTTTGAATGCAAGTTTATCGTACTCTGCTCCAACCCTATACATTTTTAGAAATTTGTATTACTTGGATAGAGGTATGGCTTGTTTGGAATTCTTCTTAATTCCTGGTAGAATCCCCGGTTTGCTTTGATTCTTCCCCATTTATTTATATTGCCAATTAATTTTACGAACATAGGGGTTTTGGGGTTTTGGGGTTTTGGGG